CTGGCTGTTTGTGTCCCAGGAATATGCCCTCGGCAATTGTTGTGGCAATGCTAGTGTCACCTTTTCCATGTAGAACTGGCTTTTGCTGGAATAAGATTATGAAGGAAAAGAACGCTTTAAAAATTGAGAAGGATGCTCACATCACCATGGGGAGAATCATGATGGAAAAATACGGAAATCGGTCGAATTTTTTTTAGATTACAAAATGCAGTGTGATTCTGATTTATCTCGATTTTAGCTTACTTGAATATTTTTTATATATCGTCCGTTCTCCGAAGTTGAAAGAATTTTTGATTATATGAGAATTAATTCAGAGTTGATGATTCTCGATCTGCCCCATAGAGAGGCTAGATCCCTCTTTTAATTGAAGGGAGCAAGATTCACTTGCAAAATTTTCTGGGATGTCATGAATAAGATCCTTCGAAACCCTCTATTTTATTTATTTAAAAAGTTTTTTTGTACTTGTAACTCGAATTTTTTTTAGTTGTATTTGAAAGTTTAGTTGCACTTGCTGAGCAAATATTCAGTGAATCTGTAGAATGAATTTATGAGACAAGTTAGAAAGCTTTTCTCTAGAGCTTCTAGTCGAAGTCTTGGCTGTATACTGAAGTGTTTCATTATAGGAAATGAGAAAGGTAACCTGTAATGGACAATTTCCAGCATTCGCGGATGTTTAAAATTTTATTTATGCCCCTTAAAGCGTTTTTTTGAAGTTGTATTAAAGGGCTTCTCATAATTGTAGAGTAGCCTCTGTGTTCGACAAATGTTTTGGCTTTTAACACTGGTTCTAGACCACAATAATTGTTTCTGGCTTAATTGCATTTCATACTGTATGCGGCTAATTTATGTTGGTCAAGTTCGAACCGCGAGTCAGACCGAAGTCCGCGATCGCAGCCGCGTACGGTATTGCTCAATTGAATGGACCATAGACCGTTGCGAACTATGACTACTCGTTAGCGAACAAGGCTACTGCCTTAATGTGCGTTCTAAAGTCGCCGTCCAGTGTGCTCTCTTATCCAATTCTACTCTCAATTCTTTCGGAGTCTACGCAGTTGAGGAAGGAGAGGGGTTCGTCTTTGAAGGGTCGTCAGGCAAAGACTGCCGCTGCGCGTGACGTTTGCAATTGGTGCCTTTATATATGCCTGTGATGATTTGTGTGCTTAAAAGTTCCTTTGCCTCGCTTCTTTCCGGGTATTAGCATCGGATTATACGGTTTCTGAACCCTGGCTTATTCCTGTAGATGAACAGAATCAGTGTACAGAGTTAATCATTCCTGGAACAAGAGTGTATCTCTTGCAGACGATAAGCATCTTCGAACCCCTGTTTCCACTTGGATGGAAAAATTATAGGGTTTCCTGCTTCCAGTGCGCCGTAGATCAAAGGATGCATGATCCGAGATGCTTGAAAAATTATTTTTGTACAGCATCCGTTGACCTGCGTGAAACTTACCCGTAGATTATGATACAACTTAATTTTGAAAGTCTTTTGGATGAATCAGTGAATATACTGTGTGTTGCGCTCACCAAGATTGATGCTTTTTTGCAGGCCTGCAGACGTGTTGGACGACCTTGGTTCTCGTGCGATCCCTTCGACATTCGGCATACGCAGATCGATTTCCTACAAATTTTAACTCATGCTTCCGCAGTTCTAAAATTCTCGTGTAATGTTGAATGGGACGTATCTTCTAAGGCTTCGCGTGTCTTACTTTGCTACGTGAGAATGTGTAAGTTTACCGCCCGAAAGAATAATACGAGTCGCACTTGATTTAGCCAATCGGAGACATATTGTTCTGCTGATTAAGCGGCTCAACATACTTTATCTGGAAAATGTTTGTGATTCATGCGTTCGTTTCTGCTAATATTATCTGTACAGTACTTCAATTACTGTATTGTCATTTGCCCCTGTTTTACTGCTCTCTCAAATATTAATTCTGGATGTCGGAGTTGCATGCCTCAGCTATGTTGTTCACTCGTTGGAAAATAACACAACACGGTAATTCATTTCTTGAATGATTTTCCATCTCTATAAGGAGAACGCATTTGCATGACTTACTGTATTTTCGGTAAATACTACGAATGAGAACCAGTAAGTTCTTCTCTCCTTTAATCTGAAACACGGCTTGTTGGCATGGTCTTAAACTGAGTGTCCAAACGCCGCATTATCGCTTAAAATCCGCTCGGATTACGTTGAGCGGGGATTTTTTGTGAAGAATGAGCTGACCAGTACTTTGTGGTGATACCCGCGGAAAAGAGTGGGAAATTTCGTTTTTTGATTCAAAACTCCAAGTGAAAACTTAAGACAAGAGTTCCTTTAAAAGCAGTTGAGGTCTTGGATTTAAATGTAATTTTGCTGCTGTACTCATACGAAAAGTTCCGGGCTAAACTGAAAAGATTTTTCAAATGGTTGACTGATCCGATGAAATGAGAGGGAAGACTCACAGATATAAATCATAATCTATGTACTGAGGTTGAATTGTTTCAATTATTGTCCCCGTTTACGAACTGCAGAAATTCACGGACTCTTGAAGTATACAGTGAAATTTGCATAGGGTTTACGGAAGTCACATTTCTTGAGCGAACTACAGATTGAATCATTAATGAAAAGACTCGTACATCGAATTTCGTGTATTTTCTGATGTCTCCATTCACCTAAAACGCAAAATCCGTCTTGCTCGTGATTGTAAACGCAGATATTGTTTTCTTCCGCTTCATGGAATCTCCGAATGCCTGTCAAGTGAAGTGTCGTGATGCGAAAGCGAGTATTATAAACTATCGAATGTTCCGCCAGAAGACCATCACAGCAATAATCTGAAAACTTGGTTTCGAAACTTTAAGTACCCCTAAAATATTATAACTCTCTATTGCAGCGTGTTACTTTATGCATCGCATATTTTTCGGCAAGAAAGATGGAATCCGTGTAAAATTATCGGTCAAAACGCAAAGCCGTTGGTGTTATGTGACGTAATTTGCGAGTGACAAAATTGGAATGCAGCTAATTTCGAGTCACGTCAGTCCGATAACGAAGAAATAGAATTACGAATAAAGAAGAAAGTTCTGCATGTGCTATCCACGCGTGTGTATATATATGTATATATATAGAGAAGTGCTTAAGAACCATGGACTACCTTTACAACAGCGTTTTCCTTTATGTTTCTCTAGCCATGCATGCTTTCCGATGTAGCGAAGAAACGTGAAGGTTTGCAAAAAAGAATGAGATGTGAGTGAATTTTACAGTGACATCGCTTCTGTGAGAGGAAGCTGCTCTTCCAAATATGCGGAAAAACGGCTGTCTCGCTGTCTCTCGTACTGTGCTTTCAAAAGGTTCAAAGAGACTATTGAGATGAACCGTTCTGTGAAAAAGAAAAAGCGTGATTTGAATCGTGTAGAGTGAAGTTTTTTTTGTTTGATCGAATAGCCTAGACTATGTAAAAATGTGTCCCTGAGAAAGACAGTTCGGTCCGAAAGGCTTTACGTTCTTTTTAGGTGTACGAGACAGGATTTCTTCCTTTTAATACACTTAAAAAATATCAACAAGGGTACAATGTTTGAAGATGCCCGATAAATTTTTAGTAATTTTTTTTCAAAATTTGCTTTCAGATAGTGTACTTCCAAATTTGCTCATGCACCACGCACACTGAAGTAAGATGCGCATAGCCGACAATTTTGATGAAAATCCCAAGTGAGTCGTGCACCCGATTTTGATTGACTTCAAAACGGCAGTATTTCGACAATGAAGGACAGCAGCATTTTAATTCGATCACAAAATCAATCGAAGTATTATTGATTTGAAGTTCTTTATTTTTAACAACTTTTCCTGACTGATTTAACCAAAATTTTCAAATCTAATGATATGAACCTATAAATTTCTGTAAACCTTATTCCTGCCCATGATGCGTACCCTCCTTTTTCCATTTCAGTTGCGAAAAAAAGGTGTTCTGTACTGTTCTTGGTACAGGAGTAAATTCGGTACATAGAGAAGTGAATTTTTCCCTGTGATTGGAACCTAATCTACATGCATAAAGAAACCGTATTTCTCCAACAGAGAGTTCGTCACCAAAGGCGGAAGAACAGGAGCAAGCACCTCCACAGTGTTCACGGCCGGCTGAACGGCAGTAGGAGGTCCAAGAGGGCCTTTTTCGTAGGATTCGTGCCCTTGGACAGACGCAGGGCAGCCCGGTACCTCGGGTGACTGATGCCATACACAATGGGGTTGTACACAGCTGCGAACTTGGCAAATACTGAACCCCACATGGTCCAGAAAGGAGTGATGAGGTGTCTGGCGAACATGCCCACGAAGTTGATGACGGCGTAAGGGGTCCAGGCCAGGAACCAGAGGGTGATGGTCATCATGGCGACCTTTGCAATAGCATGGTGGTTTATAAACGGGTGGAGGACCTATTGCTATGAGTGAAACCTCCCCAAGGTAAGAACCTCCGTGCGTCAAATTTTTTTTTAGACCCGAGTTTCAATTCCCTCGTGAGCAAAATTAATCTAGCCCTCCCTAACCCTTTTTAACCCCTTGAACTAAAATTTTAAGAGGCATGGTAAAAATTTACCTGCGTCAAATTTTTGTCTTGACCCGTGTTTGAATTCGCTCGAGAAAATTATATAGAATCTAAACCTCCCTACCCTTTCAAACCTCTGGAACTAAAATTTTGAGACCTGGTAAGAACCTCCCTGTCTCAGGTTGTTTTTTAGAAGGAGAAAGATTAAGGAAATTCTTGATTTACTAGATCTTAGATTTGGATGGCTATTGGAGAAGTTTGCAGACATCGATTTTAAAATTCTCCGGACTATTCTTGGAGCCACACAGTTTAAAAACAAAGCTCCCTTGTTTGAATTCCCGCAAGAATAAAATGATCTCGAATCTAGACCTCCCTATAACCCCTCCAAACCTCTGTAACTAAAATTTGTTGAGGCCTTCGGGCTATTATTCTGGAAGTCCAGAAAGGAGAAGAACAATGGGAATTTAACTTCATTATTTTCGAAAGGAATTGGGTGAATAATTGGACAAATTTAATCTGGCCTCCAAGGTTAGCATTCTTTTAACTCATCGACCAAGTAGGTGTTCAATGTCCATAAGATCACTAATTCCGCGTTCCTTATACTGAAATTCAGTTGCTTGAAATAGCTGGAAAACGCCTTCACTTTGCTCAGTAGAAATCATGGTTGTACCCCCCCCCCCCCTCCCCGCCTCTAGCCCGACTTTAGTCACAGGTCATTCAGGATTTAGGTTAAATTGACTAAAATAGTGTGGATTGGAGTTCTTTGTACATGGAATGATTTGGTGTAAGATGGTCTTACATTATTATCATGTCAGATAACTCTGATCTGGTTCGTTTTTCCTGAAAACAGGTTTCAGTATACAGTATCTGTTCATGGCACAAACTTATACAAATTGAATAATGTAGGACATGCATATTTGACAACAAAAATCTAACCAAATTAATATATCTATTCGCTCTGAACGTGGAGTTATCTGCTTCTCCAGCTGGCTGAGTTTAATCATCATGAAAGGCATTGATCATATTTTTTCAGAAATAGTCCTAGGCAGAACATTTTCTTAAATTTGAGTACTTTTGATGGCCAAAATACAGTACTTACCTTTGCTAATCGTACTTCAACGCTGGTCTTATTGCCTTCTCCACTTCTCAAGCTCTGAACATTCATCTTCTGGGCTTGCTCCCTCATTGATCTTTCATGAGCTGCAACAGCCTGAAATGAAAACAACCGGGTTTTTCAAAACTTCTATGTGAAACTATTCTGGTATATTGTTAGCTCAGGCTTGCTCAAAACCTGTACTGTTTTTAGGTTGACGTCAAGCTGTGTAACCGGTGGCACTGGAGGAAATATTCGATAAAGATGCCCAGGGATTGATTCAATGAAGAATGAAGAGAAGAATCGCATTGTTTTTGCTGACCTTACAGGTGGGAAGCGGGAAAAAAATGGGACTAACCTTGACAATGAAGCTGTAGCAAAAGACGATAGTCAAAAGAGGAGTGCAGTAGGCATAAACAAAGGTCGTCAAGAGAAAGCTCCTGCTGTGCCAGTCCTCCGAGATGGAGTCTCCTCCACAGACCATCATGTTTCCTTCGGGCACGTACTTGTTCCAGCCAAACATGGGCAACAGGCTCCAGAATAAAGCGAAGCCGTCGATGGCTGCGATCATGGTGTACACCTTTTTGAAAGTGAGTGGCTTGGCGCCGATCCCGCGAACGATCACGTTGAATCGGTCAATGGCGATCAGTGTCATGGACCAGATGGACATGCATCCGGACCAGGCACCGAAGAACCCGTGGAGCTCGCACATCAGACTTCCTGCATTCCAGAAATAGAAGGGGGATAAGAAAAAGTTCAAGTAAGTCTGATGAACATCTTCGCTGCTGATTTCAGCGCAAATGTAAAAATTAACACTTGTACTGCGAAGTCAGGATATTTTTAAAAAATTGTGTGCCCACGAGCACTGAACATTTGAAAAACTGTATATTTATGAACCAAGTTCTGAGTTGGGAAAAAGTAAAATATTTTAATCATGCAGACAAACTTGCCTGTCTACCAGGATTTTTTCCCAAACTGGGCGCATTTCAGTGACCTTTGGTCAAACTGAAATGTGCCTCCCCCTGGAAAGCCCTGACCACCTCAGAATGGAAACAAACGCTCCACCGTTTGAGGGTTAGGTATATGATTCCCAGTCGTTTTCCAATATTCTGCAATATTCCCAGGATCAAGTGGGGATTGTTCTTGTCATCTTCTGGCAAGTTTTTGTTTTCGACATGTTACTGCATTGGGTTCCATATTTAGTGAAGTAAACCCCATTAAGACCGCCCCTCCAATACCATGCCACTCTTGAAGCTGCCAAAGTTTTGTACTAAATGAATATCTTCAATGTCGAGTATCCTAAAATACCTCCATGCTATACCAGCTGCCGTATACCAACAATATTGGCAAAATCAAAGCGTTTTTGAATCAATTTTGTCTTTTGTGTATCTATGTGCTCACCGAAAACCCAGGTCTCGTAGAAGCACGAGATGGCCATGAATGGGAACATGGACGCCATCATGAGGAAGTCGGAGAATGCCAAATTGACGATGATCATATTGGACGGGGTTCTCAGGTTCCGGGTGCATAGAAACACGTACATGACGACGGAGTTGCCAACGACGCTGATGATGCCGAGCACTAAGGTGAGCAGGCCGATGATGTCGTTGAAGATGGACGGGATCGGCGGGAATTGGTACCAGAAGGGGTCAACCATGTCCCACATGTCGCCGGGCACGTTGTCCACGATGGAGTTGTTGGCGAACCGCATGGGCGGCAATTCGAGTGGCGGCAGTGGCGACTTATTGTAGACCGGCGCCGTTGGGCCGATGATCGGGAATTCGGGCAAGTTCCACAACATCACTTGCTGTGTTTCCATCTACAGTATATAAATGCAGGTGAACCTCTTCAAGTAAAACTTTGAGGGACCCAAACATTTTTTTTATTATTTAGAGAAGTTTAAAGTCAAGGAAACTACCATTTTTGCTGGAGTTGAAAAGAATGAAATACAGTATCGGACATTGCCATTGGTAATCTCGTAGGCTTCGAGCTGCTGAGTATATGAGTTGATACTGTATAACGCTGAACTTGAGATCACGGCTTAATTTGTTCTAATAGTAACTCCCATCATGTTGAAAAGCGTTGTTACATTTTTATTGCATTCTAGGTATCTCTTTTTGATTGCCTTGAATGCCATATTTACTCATGTACCTCGCGCACATTTTTTCTCAACTTTGAGAAGGATAGAGGGGTTGCGTATCGTAGGTGGGTGCACTGTACTTTTTCCACAAAAAGTTCTAGAAATTTAGGTGTGCATAATGCAGTACTTGATTCGATTGGGAAATGTTCTGGATTTCGCCGAATTCAATAAAATATAGAGGTGCTCACGGACCACCATTGAAAATGTTCTCATCCCGGGCTTATGATAAGCTCAAAACGATGTCCGAAAACTTGTGTTAGAGTCATTGATTAATCCTCTTCTAATCCGTAGGATCATGCACCTGATAGTTTTCAAAGATCCACAGTCCTTGAAACATATGCTGTACCGTAATAGCTTGGTCTTTTAGTTAAAAAAACCAAATTTA